AACAAATAAAAAAAAAACATAGCATGCAAAAAACAAGAAACAACCACAAAATAATGGGATAATCAAAACACAAAAACCAACAAATTATAACAAAAATCCTTTTAAATTTGTGTCAAATTAAATAATCTTATAAAATCAACATAGGGAATATTCTTTTATTTTCTATCAATCTAATCAAAGTATCATAGGAAATTGAACCTCAATTGTTACTCGGGGCTTGAAAATTGACTTTTGAATATATACTAATAAAATATTCAAATCATTTGCAAGTATGTATAGGTACAAAATTGTATATAATCACCAAAGATATAATGGCGGAGTAATAAATACTTTAAGTTCGAACCTTGAATATAAGTCACTTTTGATAAAAAATAAAAAAATTCGTTACAAATTTAAATTGATCGAAATTTAAAATAGATACTGAACATCAAATGAGATAAGCCAAAAAAAGGGGAAGACAAAATGATGATAATATAAAGGAACAAAAATAATGTAGTGGACAAATGAGGCATATATCACTTTCTGAAGCCCCTTTTCTGCTAATTTTGTACTTTTGGACTTGAAATTTCGACCTATAATTAGAACTACAAAAAAATCTTTTTTTTGCAGCTATTTGCAGATTTGCTCCCTCAAATTCCTATCTTTCAACAATCCAATCAAATCTTTTGGTCATAAATAATTTCCTTTTGGACCATAAAAAAGACGGTACTTGCAAAACAAAATCTTAACCAAAAGATATGTTTGTTTAGCCAATACACATGATTTTATACAAGTGATATCACCTTTTTAAAATAAAATAAAAAATATGGCCGAATTTATAAGCTGATCAAACTAGTTTATAGGTACTTTTAATCTCATATCGAAGGTGTGATAAGGTTTAACAATTTTTTTTGATATACTATGTATATTCATAAGTCACAATAGAGTATGTTGGAGTTTTTTAGAAAAAGTAATTAATGTGTTTTGTTTTTTTTTAATTGAGTAAATTTTAGGTTTAACAAACATAAAAATCATATTAGCGCTTTATAGCTACAGTTTTGTTATTTGCGCTCCATAGCAAAATGTTTGTTATGGAGCATCAGAATTGTATAAAAATCGTAGGCAACATCTGATTGAATAAAATCGCAGGCATCTGATTTGTATAAATAAGGTATCTGTGTCTATGAAAATTGCTTTTGTATATGTATATGTTATTAGTGTTTGTATATCTACATAAAATTTGAATTCGTATACAATTGAATCGAGTTAAAACAATTGTATTTGTATATCAAATCTCTCTCTCGCTTTACACAAACACAAATTATACATTGTATTTTGTATAATTTGTGTTTGTATAAAGCGAGAAAAAGAGAAAGACAAAAGAGAACTAAGTAGAGAAATATTTGTATTTGTATAATTATAAGTATCTAAGACGAAGAGATATATATTTGTATATGTAGTTCTCTTCCGCTTTATACAAACACAAACACAATTTATACATTTGTGTTTGTATAAAGTGAGAGAGGCGAGGGAGAGTGGCGAGCGAAATCCAAGGAGAGTGGAGACTCTGAAGGACTTTACAGATCAGCACTCGACTTTCTTTATTTTGATCGGCTTCTCGTAGGGACAAACAAAACCAAGGTTTGTCATTAAAACTGAGTCGATGTCATCATCTCCGTAGGGCCTAAACTACCCCTACCCCACCACCGCATGCTTCTCGTCTCTACAAGGTGCCTATCGTCCCCGCTTAAGGTCCAAGAGACATTGGATTGCTATTAGGGTGAATTTAGACAAAGATAAAATATATGATTCCTAATAGGCCTACCTAGACACCAAGTCAAATAAATAGGACAACACTTAGCATGTAAATCTCATATTGACCTCTAGGTTTTCAATTAGCATGCTAGCAAACACAAGTAAGGTGAAAAGGTTGCATGCTAAGTGTGTGACATATTAACAAACATTATATCAATATAATTAATTTAGAGGAAAAAAAAATATTACAAGTGCAGAAATATTCATTTACTTTTAATGAGGCAGAAGATTGCTCACAGATGCATAAAATAATTTTTGTTTAAAGCAGATTATACTATTATTAACTAACATGCTAAAAGTGAATCGTTAATTTATTTTCAAATAAAAGAACAGTTTGTTAGTGCAGAAGTTACTTATTTTGAGTATATTTAAATTAGGGCAGTATGTTAAGGTGGCAGATTCATGCCGAAATAATTGATTTTAGGTGGCAGGAAAATGTTTAAGTGCAACAAATAATTATATGATTTTAAAAAAAAGTATCATAACAATGACCAAGATGCAGGAAATATTTTAGAGCAGTAACCAATTTTATTTAATTATTAGCACAGGTTGGTCAAGATTAAGGGCAGAAATATTTAAAACAGGGGCAGATTTAATTAGGTCAGCAAATTTGAAAATAGCAGATTTTAGAGAGACACAGAATATAATTATTAGTTAATTTTTAGGTGATTAGCAAATAGATCACAAAATGCAAGACATATTTCTATTTGCAAAGCATGTAGCGGATCAGAATGAATTATTAGTATTTTCATTAGCAAAACGGAGCAGAACCTAACTTATTTGAGCCAGATTCAATCTAGGAAGCAGATTATAATTTATTTTTTTAAATCAGAATTTTACTCTTTTTATTCATTAATATACTGATTGACATCTCAACTAATTAATTATGTCCTATAGGCATGATTTCTAAGTGTGAATATGCTGAAAATATTATCAAACCTATAGGCATGATATCTAATTCATTTACACAAATTATTAACCCTATAGACATGATATTTATCTAATATGTAACAAGTTTAAACTTATATGCATGATTTCTAAGCCCAAAACATATTGAAAAATTATTTAGACCCTATAGGCATGGTATCTAAGATGACGAAATTATATAAAGCATATTATGACAATTATTCAAAGTTTATTCATTTATTGTATAAAGGGAGCTTTAGTTGAATTACATGGAACAAGGAGCAAATACATCACTTATTTGTGAAATAGTTATGAAGATGGTTAATGCTAATCCCATAACACATTATAATAAGCAATTAAAACACAATCCACTTTTAAATTAATTAAAGGATTAAATAGATGATTAATGACAAAAGCATATTCCGTTAGATCTGAACATATTTGTTAAAAATACGGACTATTAAACAAATCTCAATCCTATAAGTATGGTTTCTAACGCAAACAAGTAACAATAAAAAATAAAATAAACAAGTAGCACGTAATTCCCTCCCCCCTTACACGATCCCCAATTATTTCATATAATAGAGTTAGAGTTATACAACAATATTACAAAATCCCATAAAATCAGCACTAATAGAAAGACAAACATCAAAATAAAGTAAAATAAGGCTCCGTCCAAATGTATTCCAATCCGGGCGAACTCTTCATGTGCCTTGAACTTCAAGTTCAAAACCTGCTAAAGGGAGTAGTGTAGTAGATACCTATAGTGACAAAGATATTCATAACACCGCATATTCATAGCAATCTATCACTTTATATATAGGCAACACACATAAGATTCGAAACGAATGAAGAATAATCAATAGATATATTATTACACACACAGAGAGAAGAACGAATAACTAAATCGGATGCTTCCTCATATTCAACTAAACACACAACAATGCAAACAATGCTAAAGATAAAAATTAAACTAGTGAATGGATACTAACCAGTTATGCAAAATTAAATATCAGCAATGAAGTTATTTGAATGGAAATGTCAGGTCCAAAACAGCAACACAACAATAAGAGACAAAGAGAGATCCAAAGCTTTACTAGAGTTCTTATTTTTCTTTTTATGAGTAACTATAAATTTTATTCTTAAAGCAAGTAAGTATGTGTCAAGTCTCTGGATATGAGCCTGTGAATAATGAAGAGAGGGGTCCTATTTATATATTAGAAGAGGGGCATATATAAGGGAATTAAATATTTTAAGGAATCAAATAATATACCATTTTCCTTATTTCAAAGGAAAGCCAATCAGACTTATTTAAAAAAAAAATCCAAATAATGAGCAATTAAATATGGCAAAGTTACAAATAATACGAGAACCGGTTAGCATGTATAAGGAAGACAATAATCAATTGAGTCAAATATTCACCAATTAAGGCAACCATAAACAAACAAATAAAGATCCGTCAACTCATTAAGGGGCAAACGGTTACTTAACAATAATCGCTAAATTAAGGGAAGGAAAGGAATATTCATACAACACGATTGCTTAAACAAAATATAAATAAAAAGGTAAAGGAATCAATTAGACAGTCATTAGCTCAATAAACTTATTCACAATAATTCAATGAATGGTCAGGTCATAGATTACCACCAATTACCAATCCATATTGCATGCAACAAGTTTAACAAATATTAGAACATCAATTCAAGCAATTTAGGCAAAATGGAAAATATTATCAGCAAAAGGACAATCTTGAATTTTAAGGGAAGCAAATATTATGATCAATTAGGAGAAGCAACTATCATAAGCAGTCGGAAATTAGCAATTCCATCATCATTATGACAAAGTAAACCTCAACGGAGACATCTCAAACAACCAACATTAGATATTAGCATATTGTTAAAGAGAGCAATCCACTATATTGGAAAAGATCACCAATATTTCATGCTTGAGCCCCACCTTTGCAGTAACTATTGACTATCACAATGTAGCAAACATAAAATTACAAGAACAAAAATTTGTTAGAAGATGGACAATAATTAAATAAAGATGAACCTGGACGGATCTGAATTATGTTTAGTCTTCTAAAAGTTTTATTAAGTTTACTTTATTTCTGTCTTCTCCCGGTTTTGAATTCTATCTTTCTGATTTGGGTTTGCGGTTTTAATAATATTCTAGAATTCGTCGTCTGAAACATTAATTTCAATGGAGTTCAATGTTGCTGCTGATTTTTCGATGTCCGACACGAAAGAGAGGAGAGGCGGGCAGAGCGAGAAGAGAGGAGGCGATGGGCGGCGTTGCCTATGGTCGCTGAGCGAAGTTTCCTTCGCCGGAGCCTGCTGCTGGCCGGCATCGCTCACTGGAGCTGTTGTTGGTTGCTGCTGTTTCTCGGAGCTGCTCGCTGCTGTGGCTGTCCTCGCCGGTTGGAGCTGCTGCTCGCTGGTTCGGAGCCGCTTCGCCGGAGCTCGCCATTGGCTGGTCGTTGCTCGGAGCGGCTGGGGTTGCTGTCCGGCTACTTCCCTTTGCCGGCTGGTTGCTGCTGCTTTTGCTGGAAAAAGAAAAAAAGAGGTGAGGGAGAGAAAGAGGTTGCTGGTGCTGCTGGTGGAGAGAGGAGGGAAAGGAGAATAGGTGAGGGAGAGAGAGCAGGACGGCTGCCGCAAGCAGGTGGTGATGAGTTTCACCGGAAAAAAAATGGAGAGGAGAGCTGAGGGAGGCGGCTGATCTGTTGAGAAAGAGGAGAGGAAAAGAATATGTGCTAGAGACAGGGGCGGAGCTACCCTTGCCTGAGGGGTGTCAAGCGACACCCCTTCATCGGAAAATTACGTTGTATAGGTAAGTCAAATTCTGATTTTATACCTATATATATTAGAATTGACACTCCTGAACCAAGTTGAAGGGTTGGTTCAGCGGTTCAGGGGCTACAAAGTTCTGCCTTGTCATTGACCTAGGCGTTGGGAGTTCGAACCTTGCTGAAGTCTATTTTTTTTAAAGGCTTTCAGCATTTTTTTTCTACTTTTCAGACAACTGTAACTTTTTTGTCTTTAGTTTTTAGATAGCTAAACGTTTTTTCCTCCAATTTTTAAACCATTGACTTAAATTAAGTTTACTTTAATATTTTATTTTTTTAAAAGAAATAAAATACACTTTAGGGATTTAGAGTCAAGGGATTAAACAAATCCCCAATTCCAAAATCAAAAGTTTTGAAGAGGAAGAGTCCAAAAAAGTCGTCTTTGTTCGCTGACTGCGTCGTGCAGTCGTCTTCAGACTTGAATCACCATTGCTCGGCGTCAATCTACCTCCTGGTCATGGCAACGATAAGTTCCTACTTTCTTACACCTTGTATTTATTTTCCTCGTCCAATTTGTTGATGGACTTAATGATCTCTCAAGAAAATTAGTTGAGACAAAGAAGAACCTAAACTTTCCTCTTGTATTCCGCTTAGTAAAAATTGCTTTGCTTTTACCAGTTGCCACTGCATCCGTTGAAAGAGCTTTTTCGGCAATGAAGTTTATTAAAAATGCCTTGCGGAATCGGATGAATGATGAGCTTTTGAGCGGTTGTCTAGTTCCTTATGTAGAAAAAGATGTATTTATTAATATTTCTAATGATACTATTGTAAAAACATTTCAAGAGATGAAACCGCGTCGAGTACGGTTGTAATAATGTAATTATGTTTTGCTTTTATTAGTAAAATTTATTTTGTTGAATTTTTTGTGTGCATACTACTTTATATTTTGACACCCCTCAATCTAAATCCTGGCTCCGCTACTGGCTAGAGTGAGAGGAAGAGAATGAGAATAGTTTTTAGGGTTTTGGTCTTTTGAAATTAGAATAGGAAAGAAATAATTGATTTAATCTCATCCGTTGAAACAATCTAAGATGAGTGGTCAGGATTAAATGGGACGAGATTAATGGTTAGGATTAAAAGATAGGGCTTTAGGAATTGAATTGAAAATGGCTATGATTTAAAACACAGATGGCTATAATTGAAAAGAGAATTGGAATTGGAGTGGCTAGAATTGAAATAAAAATTGGATAGTTTAGGCTATAATTTAAATGATTTAAAGGAAACTTAAGGAGATGCTATTCAATTAACAAAATACTACATATATTATAAAATTTTCATATAAATTATACACATCTAATTTTTAAAACATTTAAATAAAGTAATTATTTCGAGTTTAACTATCAATAAATATAATAATAATAATATATTTTAATGATATTTACAATAATTTTTATAAATCATGCATACTAAATTATATAATGTTTAGACAAAATTGATTAAAATTTTAAACTCAAAATACGTTTTAAAATTAAGTATTTAATCGAATAGCATTCCCAAAAAGGTTAAAGGTCGGTCAAAATTGGGTGTCAACATCTCCCCTTAGTGAAAAGTATTTGAAACACTTCTCTACTATCACAAAGTGTAGCTTGAGAAGCATATGTACAAGCTTGTAACTAAGGACAGGATCTTTTCGGATGTCTCATCCCATATGTCTTCTAAATCTATAAAATGTTTGGGGGGAAATGAAAAATTAAAAGATCATTTTAGTCAAAAACACTCAATTATGACATCCTTGGCTAGTTTCGACAATTGATCGGATCGAGTTAGATATGAGCTTGTAAAAATGGGTTTAGAGAAACATAATCAAATTGCTCAATTTTTCAGCCTAAATAAATTAAGTACTTTTGTTGTTGAATTACCATTCAAAAGCCAAAATGGGAGTACTTCTATCATTCCATTTCAACCAATGCAACTTTTTTGGCATCCAAAAGACGAACGAGATAGTTGTTTGTTGTTCCAAACCCGTTAAGCAAAGAACTTGCTTAGAACAATTTCTTCGTGTTGTTGATTTTTAGGTTAAAACAATTACTTGACAAGTCTATCAATAGCTATGATTATTGAAATTGTTGCAAATCAATAGTAGCAAATTTAGAATTTCGAGTCAGTAAGTTATATTCTTTATATATATGGGTTTTTAACACATCCTATAATTCAAGCTAAAATCGATGAGTTCTATCGAATCCGTTGCGTGTAATTTAACACAAATTTTGCATTGTGTCGATGCTTTTTTAAATATTAAAGAAAAGTAATACGTAATATCTTTTGCAATGCTCTTAAAAGACTAAAAGTTTTTTAGTACATTATTAAACCACTACTAAAAGCAAGATTCCATTTTCTTTTTTTGGGGTCTCTACTTTTTATTGTAATAGAATTATGATGGTTTATTATACTTATATATTACCTCTATCTATACTTGTTATCACAATTGATGATGATACCTTACACTCCTTAAATTTAAAAATTTTAAATCTGTCTCTAATAACATGCATAGGAATTCAAGTATTGTGTCAAACAAGGGCATAATTGAATGATTCGAAGGGGATTTATCGAACTTCTTTTATCAAAAATATTTTTTTTTTGTTTATCACATCTCTAGACATAAGGGAAACTTCAAATGCAACAACAAAGCTAGCTTAAGAATTGCTTTAAGTCACGAGTTTGAATCTCAAATATTTTGGTACTTTTGCAATTTTTAAAAGAATTTTGTTAAAATTACTGGCTTCATTACTAGATCAATGGTCTGATGATGAAAAGGTGCAAAATAGAAGGGAGGGTAGGGTTGATCGGTATAATGATGATAGGAAAGAGAAGAGGAGGAACGTAGTAAGAGAAAAGAAGGATGATGGTGATGACCATGATAGAAAGGATACAAGGCAAAGGATTGGGGCTGATAAGCATGGAAAAGACAAAAATAGGGAAGATAATACCCAAGAAGACGGGGCACTGAAAGCCAGTGACGTTTCCAAGGTGCAAAAGCAAGATGGTAATTTGAATGTCGATACAGCAAAATTGGGCAGGAGTGGGGGAGTGTACATTCCACCATTCAAATTGGCTATGATGATGAAGGAGGTTCAGGACAAGAGCAGTGTTGAGTACCAGAGGATGACTTGGGATGTTCTCAGAAAGAGTATCAATGGACTGGTGAATAAAGTTAATGCAGCAAACCTCAAAAACATTATTCCAGAGTTGTTCGCAGAGAATTTAATTCGAGGGAGGGGTTTGTTTTGTAGATCCTGTATGAAGTCCCAAATGGCTTCTCCGGGTTTTACTGATGTGTTTGCTGCTTTGGTTGCGGTCGTTAATACCAAGTTCCCTGAAGTGGGTGATCTTTTGTTAAGAAGGATCATACTGCAGCTGCAAAGAGCTTATAAACGTAATGATAAGGTTCGTATCTCTTGCTTTCGTGCTTGCAGTACATTTTTTATTTGTGCAACATATTGTATTGTTCTTGTACAAATGATAAGGTTTGTATCTCTAGTAGTGCAGTTAGTCTCATCACTTCAATGCAGTCCGAATCTGTTCATAACCTTAGCAGGACAAAAAAATCTTGTCGTAATTTGTCTCACCCCTAATTTTTTACGCTTGCAGCCTCAGCTGTTAGCAGCTGTCAAATTTATTGCTCACCTTGTGAACCAACAAATCGTCCACGAGCTTATTGCTCTTGAACTACTCACGGTTTTGTTGGAGAAACCTACTGATGATAGTGTTGAGGTTGCGGTTGGTTTTGTTACAGAATGTGGTTCAATGCTTCAGGACCTCTGTCCACGAGGATTACATGGTGAGTACACATTGAAAGTTTGTTATAGAATATTCACGACTTATATTTTCGTTTATTTATTTGAAGATTTTGCTTTGGTTGCCATGTTAATACCTTTTTCCTTTTAAATAGGAATCTTTGAGCGGTTCCGTGGTATACTTCATGAAGGAGAAATAGATAAACGTGTTCAGTTCTTAATTGAAAGCCTCTTTGCATTGCGTAAAGCAAAGTTTCAGGTGAGTTTGCTTTTTAATTGTTTTCTGAGTAAAAAAATACTACTCGATAATTTATTGTTTTCTGAGGAAAGATTATATTTTATCCCTTATTTATCAAAGCAAGAATATTAGATCCCTTACATGCATCCTACTCAGGGTTACCAAGCTGTGCGTCCAGAACTTGACCTTGTTGAGAAGGAAGATCAACTAACACATGAAGTCTCTCTCTCAGATACAATAGATCCAGAAATTACTTTAGGTATGTCATGATCAATTTTATAGTAGAAGTATTAAAACGGATTGCCTTTGGAGGCTACTAGATATTTTGTTTCGTGGAGCAACTATATGGAATGTCGATTTTTATGTTTGCTTTGCGTGCTCAGATATTTTCAAGCCGGATCCTAATTTCCTAGAGAACGAAAGAAAGTATGAAGAATTAAAGAAGGCAATACTTGGTGAAGAATCTGAAGAAGGAGATTCTGATGCCGAATCAGAGGATGAAGATGACAATGAAGATGAAGAGTCTGAAGAAGAAGATGAGGAGCAAATGCAAATAAAGGACGAAACAGAGACAAACTTAATCAACCTTCGGAGAACGATCTACCTTACTATTATGTCTAGCGTTGACTTTGAAGAAGCAGGGCATAAGCTGTTGAAAATCAAACTAGAGCCTGGTCAGGAGGTTGGTATCATGATCTCTTTCTTATATTTTGTGTTATTCTGCTACTGTTGAGTCTTGTCCTTCGCGAAACTGTGTGCATGCTTACATGGATTGACATGTCCATATATTTGCATGTGCTTTGAGTTTCGAAAGGTAGTGATGTCGCCTTTGATTTGTTAAACATTATATGAAAAGGGCTATAAGTTTAAAGGGAAAACGTAATTGAACATTAAAAAAGGTGTAGGAAAAACTTAGTTTCTGGATACAAAAAAAGAGTAGAAATAACCAAAACATGAGCTTTCGTTGAATCCGACTTCTCCTTGTATTTTTCATGGATAGCATAGAGGCATTATCATTCTATCATGCATACCATAAACCAAATTTCTGGTGTTCCGTTATACTGATGGTTGAGGAATAAAAGATGGACATGGACGTAGGTAATAATTAGCTTGCCTTGTGGTCCATGCAGGTGGAGATTCATGTAGCCCACAATGCAATTTCTAACATTGATAAATTGCGGGATTAATTAACGCATGTTTCATTTGTAACTATCATAGGAGGACACAAGATTCCCTTGACTCTATTTTCCCGAAGGACAATCCCAAGAATACAAGGTTTGCTATCAACTTTTTCACTTCCATTGGTCTCGGTGGAATTACTGAAAATCTACGAGAGTATTTAAAGAACATGCCAAGGCTTATCATGCAACAACAAAAGCCCGTTTCTGAATCGGATGATGAGTCTGGGAGTTCTGGTTCAGAATCTGAATCATCATCATCCAGTTCTGACGACAGTGATAGTGAAAGTGATGATAGTCGAAGGAAGCGGAGGAGGAGAAGATAGATGAGCCATGTATCTTCGAAGAACAAATTCCCAGATTGTACGATTTGGCATTGTCTTCAAATTCTATCGTCTCTGATTCAAGAGTTGATGGGACTTGGTTAGTTAATTATAGAAGAAATATCAATGTAAAGACTGCAACCAAGGTGAGTTGTGTAAAATCTTGGAAAAGGAAGATCAACATCTCAAACTATGGCCTCAGAAACAAATCTGGAAGTCATGAGCTCCTCATAGAAGTGAAGCGCGTTTATCTTGGGTTGTTATTTATGTGGGCAACCATGCTGAAACTCTTATTCGTCTCTTTTTGCACTGTCCTATTACACCATTCTTAACTTTGTCTAGCACTGGACAAAACAAGAATAAGCGGGTGGTACGCTATTCCAGCTTGTATCTTGTTATTTAGCTTTACTGGAATTCTTAAAGAGCCTCTCTAAAGACTTGAGGAGGGATATATTGTGGATCTTTTGCTCACTTGTTCAGAATCCCAGCACTACATTTGTGCCTTTTATGAATACAATTATTCACCATTTACCAAAAAAAAATGAAGTGAAGTTTAGGGGACCTTATATTGCTTGGAAACCTAAAAATTCAAACTATTTTAATTGTTCCGTACAAGAAACAAGAGACGTTAACTAAATAGGTAGCAAGCTGTTCATATGAGATCCGAATACCTCTTAGGTTCGGGATGAAGCCAAGCTGATACATATGATAGGTTAATTGTTCCGAAATCAAAACAAAAAATTGTGACTAAATAGGCAGCAGCTACGTAAATGACAGCTTATATCATGAATAAGTTGTGGACTAGAATCGTTTTATCGGGGCCTTGATCATGCAAGAAATTTAAGAAACAAATTTTATCAACAAACCAGCCATTACATGGCAGCAACACACAAACACAAACACAAAATTTACAAACATAGCAGACAAACCTTCCCTCGCATGTCAACCCCCACCCCCACGCCACCACACAGCATATGAAACTTCATGTCACAGTTGCACAACTTCTCTAGCATGACTAAAAGATTCATGGATCAAACCACAAGTATACTTTATGGTGCCTTAAGAACATCTTGAATCAAAAAGATCAATTCCATTTATGAAGAGTTTAGGATCTCTCTTCCTCCCATATCAAAATCTTCTGATCATACTGCAAGTACTATGATCACAATTAGAAGTATGATCCCAAATATCACCAGAAGCAAGCAGGTCTGCAGAAAAGAAAATCCGTTAAGAATGCGCTGCGAGGAATATAAGATGAAAAGATTTATGATTTTTTATATAAAGTGGCGAGGAATGAATGTTAGTAATTATATTTTCCACCTACATTTGATAGGGAATGATGAGGTTGAACGATTCAACACCATCCAAAAGGGCTTAAAATCAACCCCACTTCTAGAGGCGGATGTAGTCTCTAGGCTGCGTGTTCATCTGAACCCACGATATGTTTTTTTAATAACCGTGGTTTCGGGCAAGCTTGTGAGCGCCTCAACTAATTCATTTGAACCCATAATTTTTTAATAACCATGGTTTCTGGGCAAGTTGGTCCCCACTCCTAAAAGATGAAAAGCCGAACCTAAGAAAACTAATCGCATGACTTGACTTGTCATTATGATTCATTAAAACTTCGACCCACGACTGCCTCATAATGGCACTTCAAATTTGGTACCACAACCATGCCCAGAATTAAGTAGCAAATTGGCATAACTACTCTTCTTCTCTCTATTTCTGTTAAACCATGCTGTAACTAGAACATCTAGTTACCATTTAGTCATAGCTTGCAAAATGCAGCACCTTAATGCTATGACAAGTTTCCCATCGTCCACATCTATATTCTCGAAGATCCAAGAGTCTAAACATACATGTTCTCATGGAATATAAGCAGAATAAAACCGAGCCAGATTTATGTTCAGGAAAAATTTGTATAAGTAATGGAAATACCAGAGATGAATTTGATCTTTGGGTCTTTGCAGCTTTAGCAAGTTGTGATCTCCCTTGTGCAGTAGCAGCATGAGAATTCTCAATGTTGGAGCCAATATCATCTGAGAAAAGGAGAATTGTATACGTCAAATAATGTCCTCTAAAGATTTGAAAGTTCAAAACGAAGGAAAGTGATTTACCAATCATAGTTCCTTGCTCGTGAACAAGAACGGCAAGATCCTTGAAAATCTCATTCACTTCACCAATCTGTTGTTGTACTTCTTGTATTCCAAGATCTCTTTCCTCAATAATAGCTTTCATTAAAAGCAATCTCATTGTCTAAATGCAAAATATCCTGCCTGAAGCAAGGGGCACGTGGAACACAAAACAACCAGATCAGAAATGAAGATATGTCTTAAGGATGCAAAACATTATCTTTGATCATATTGCCATCACCAGAATAGTTCCATAAGAAAAGTCAGATGTCAATAAAAGTTCAGCACATGGCCAAAAAATGCAAGTTTTCAATTTATTGTTTCATGGAAGCTAATCATTTGTCATGTCGGTGCTAATATATAAGGTGAATTAATTCAACTCGTTGGCCTCTGATACCCTTTCCCAGAGAACCTATGTCGAAAGATGGTTCTCAACATACGAGATTCTATCCTCTATACAAACAAGGACCTCGTAAGTCCCCCAAAAAGTAACTAGAGACAAAACATTCCTATGCAATTTTACAAAATCTTGTTCCACCCCATCAAATGTCCTATTTCCCTTTCCACATGATTGTTAAGGGGTCAGCAATCCATACCCTAGGGCTTCTCTATCCCATCCTATGAGTCCAACTTTGCAAAGCCTCCTTGACTGTACCCGACATCACTGATTGAATCCGAAACAAATCCGTGGCTACCCTCCATAACCGATTAGCCACATTACAGTGCAAAAGAAGATGATCAGCATTTTCACATCCACTCTTACACATAAAGCACTAACTGACATAGCTAATCTTCCTCTTTCACAGATTTTCTGCAGTTAAATTGCACCCCTTGCCGCCAACCAAACAAAGAAGCACACCTTACTCGGTGCCCTAGGAATCCATGGACTCCTTGTCTCAATCCCCTTGAACTCCCAAAGAAACCGAATGGACTCCTTCATCAAAAAACAACACTAACACCACATAAATTTAACCTTTACACCATTGGAAGCTCATTACCCAACACCCTAAGCCCCGAGCTTCATTTGTAATCTGATTTCTCTGTACCACAGCAAACAGTCTTCTATCTAACGTGGCACTAACCCATCAGTTGTCTAGAGACCAAACTCAAAGGTGAATTTCATTTCCCTGTATGCCTATAACTGATGGTTATCTTGCTGGTGAATTTTAGCAACCAATTCAACCATCAATGTTTCTTTTTCTTTTTCTTTTTTTGAAATTAGTAATTTTGTCAACCATCAATGTTTCTTTGACTAATGCATGTCTGAATTTGATAAAAATGAGTCTTAACAACCTAGAGACGAGCAAAAACTAGTAAGAAACAACAAATTGAATAATAGAACTAGACTAACTCACCTTCTTGATTCCACAAGGAGAGCTCGCTGTTCCATACTATTATCTGCAGCAACTTCTACCTCACTGGCTGTGTAACTGTTTACCACGACATAATATAAATGAAGGGTATGAGCAAAAATGTGGGGCAACAAATACAGATGAAGTGTATGATTCATTAAATCTATAAAAATGAGACTGTAGAGTACACATCATAGCACTAAAAGTTTCTTTTTATGTAGTTCTTCATATGCCAGTAACTCTGTTTACTAAATGACAATTACCATAATTGCCGCTGACATTACCTAGAAGGAAGAACAGCTTGGGGAATGAAAGGTGTATATGCTGTCTCCCTCTCTGCTGCAAGTCTCTGAGCCTTTTGAAACTCTTTCAAGACAGCTTGAAAATCTTTAGCAAGTTTAGCATCTGTTATTTTCTTGCTAGCCTGAGAAAAAGCAGTATAAACATAAATTCATATATGTGAGAAAGTTATAATAAGAAGACGATGAAATACACATCAGAGTTCATACATTCAGCCATCTCCATATAGAAAAGGATGAGAACTTAGTATATAAGAAACTCACAAAGAAATAAGACAAACAGTATGTGTTTAAATATATGAGACCTGAAAATGTATACCCATCAAGATCAACAGAAGTGGATGAGGAGAAATATCGAGCTCTTTAAAACTTACACTGACATCAGCATGATGATCTGTTTCACTTGCTTGCTTAAGTTTAGCAGATGTATCTTTGACTAACTGGCCAATATGTACCCTTGTCTTGTGCCTGCAGTTGAGCAAAATTAGCACAGTTACCACCAAATAAATGTTCGATCAAATGCCAACTACTATTTTTTTAACCACAAGCTAAAAGGTAGGCAACATCTTTGAGCTCCGTTGGAACACTTGACACTGCTTCTAAACAATAATATTGGAATAACAGTAATGTGGAGCATCTGGTAGAGGTTAGCTAAAAATTGAACAGACAAATTTCAACATTTTCCAAAATCAATGTACTGCACTTTCCCCACCACCCTTTCATTTTCCTAGTAACCCACCCCTAATGTCAACCCTCTTTTCTCCCAGGGAAGGAGTGAGACAGCACTTAACATCAGTCCATCCAGAAAGCATTTGATAGGCAATAAGTAAACAATTGCTCAGCCATCCTTAATTGTCCAGTAGACTAAATCCACGATATACTTGCTACCTTCCACCGTACCACCTAACTATGTTCACCAAAGCTTGGACAGATAGCAAGGAATCACCTTTTCTTTTTGCCTCTGACGGGAAATGAGAACCCGAGACTGCATGGTTTGCCTCTACTGGGAATTGAGAACCCGAGACTTCATGTTCTCAACCCACTTCATTGACCACTAAGCGCCACATTTAGGTGACCTCAATCAACAATCAATCAATCACCTCTCAATCCCAAACTAGTCATAATCTACTATATCCATTTTCAGCTCCTTTTGGATAAATCATCATAATTATACTATTTCATTTTGAATTCGACATATATTAACACCCCCTTTACTCTGAACTTTCAACGAGCTAAAACTAACATACACTAATTATGCAATTCAACCTAATCTGATACAA